TAATTATTTTGTAATTATGCACCACGTTTAGTTGTAAGAGTGTATCGCACTACGCAACGTACTACGCATCGTACTACGATTTTGAGAGTGAAAAGAAATCAGGAAGAAGCGAAGAAGCGTCTCCAGAGACTGTAGATGGCATAGCCAGCTACTGTACGAACGCGGTTCCTTGTTTCTCTCCTAGGTTTCCTTTACGTTTATTTGTACGATATGCATTGATGCCAACTGACTGCAATATTCTTTTTCACGGCAGACGACGAGCTGCTAGCTCTACTTGCCTATGGTTGTGGAATGTGGAACAACCATTGGCACCTTGGCGGATCCGAGAAACGGGGTTCGTCAGGCAGGTGAGGAACTATCGGTGGACGGTGTGGTGGTCTGCCAACTGCCGGCCACCAGGTTGGAGACCGTGGCCCTAATGACGGCCGCCCACGCTGTCTTCTACACAAAGTTCACGGGGCCCTGCAGGGCCCTGTTCGAGATTCTTTACCGGAGTGTGGGATTCGATGTAAAGTAAACCTATCTGGCTTATCACAGAAGGTGTGGGAGGTTACCCAGGTAGTGTAGAACCAGCATCGGAGATGCCCACTTCGAATGACTGGCGACCTGTGGCTCACCTGTGGTTCAAGTGACTCGTGACTTGTGGCTCACCTGTGGTCCAAGTGACTCGCAACGTGTGGCTCACACTACTGGAGCCTCTGTATTATGACTAATTCAGCTGCGGCGGTCTCAGTACGCCAATGAGTCTCAGTACGTCTTTCATAGCCCAGATCACGCTCGTTTTATATGCCCTGTGGCGGTGGTTCTGTGCGCAGATGTTATTCGTTAGCCTCAGTGTTAACCATACACGCTCGTTTTATCTGCCATCCGTGGCGGTGGTTCTGTGCGCAGATGTTATTCGTTAGCTTCAGTGTTAACCATATAACACGCTCGTTTTATCTGCCATCCGTGGCGGTGGTTCTGTGCGAGATGTTATTCGTTAGCCTCAGTGTTAACCATACACGCTCGTTTTATCTGCCATCCGTGGCGGTGGTTCTGTGCGCAGATGTTATTCGTTAGCCTCAGTGTTAACCATAACGCCCTTGTGAGTTGTGACCTTGAACGTCCTTCCAGTGTTTCGCATTGCGGCCGGCAGAGACGAAGTTTTGCCTCCCAGTTGAGACGCCGCTTCTCAACTAGGAAGCAAAATTACGTCCCTGTCGGCCGCAATGCGCCATCACTGGGTGCGTCCAAATTAAGATGTACCTTGATGATGGTACCATTCGTTGTTGGTGTTTCAATACACTGTTTAAATGCATTCCTTATTTTACACTTGGTCATAATATTATCACATCACCCCGCATTATCAGGGTGGTACTTTTACACCGGGGCTTGATTTTACCGGGAGTTACTCCGGGGTAAAATTATCGAAAAAAGGAGTGCTTTTTGGCATGGCAATATTATTCCCCGAATGGCAGTAATTTTAGTATTAAGTTAATAAATATCATCTGATGTAATTTTATCCAAAGATAGCATACTTTTATCCTCCGTCATAAAATTACTCCCTAGCACGAATAATATAAGCGTTCGGATACTAAATAATTCTATACGCTAGTTTTATTCCCCAAAACTCCCCATTTTAGGCGGTTATGCCAGGACATAAAATTATTCGATTGCAGGAGTGCTTTTTGGCATTCTAAAATTAGAAAATGGGGAGTAAGTTTTTTCAGTGTGATACATACCTTTTCTAATATTCTTGGTAAAAGATATTCGTTTTTAGAATTAAATTCATTAGTCCTTACAAATATTATCAACTATCCAAGGCCCCAAACGAGAAAACATTCAAAATCAAAATACACATCAATACTTTGTGAGGTCCGCCAGAAATGTCGACACGATAGCAATGGAAGGACAAAACAGGCGTTAAATCACTGCAAAATTCTGTTGGGGAAAAAGTACTGCAAAATCGTAATGGCAATACACTTTTAAGTACTGCAAGGTTGCGAATTGCGATCATGACTTAAGTGCCAATTTATTAACGTAGAAAACAAACTACATTTTGTTGTTAGTACCTAGATATAGAATAAATACCAAGGGTTCTGAGAATTACCTGATTTCTTCCCGAACGTGTTCCATAATTGTAACCTTTATGCAGTAGATTAGCGTGCGTAAGGCATAGCATATATGACGCTCAAATGCGCCATTTTCACATCAACACGGAATCATTGGCCTTGGAGAAGGGCATTGGTATTGACTCGGTTTTTTGCCAGCTGCTGCCGTATGATGGCGCTAGTAGAGCGCTATATGAATACGCTCTGCTAGCGCCACCATGCGGCGCCAGTTGGCTAAAAATCTGATCAATACTACGGTTTCTGGAGAATGCCTTAGATTCATTTTTAGCTTTATGGATTTATGCAAGGGCATGTTAGTTTTATGAGTTGTCTTCTGACCGTGATAAAAATAATTTCAAAGCTGTTTGAGTTATGAAATGCATTTGAATATCAAACATGAACTCTGATTTCCGGTGGGCATAGTGACTTTGGTATGTCAATGTCCTTGAAAAGGCAGGTGAGAATGCCACTGGTCAGCCTTGCTTCGAAGTAATCCGTACAAACATTTGGTGAAATGTTTTCTAGATTGCTAGCACTTAGAACTTGTTTATTCTGTTGTAGGTGACAAGATAAGAAATTGAAGCAAGACTGACCAGTAGGGGAGAGTGGGGTAAGATGCCCAGGGTGGGAAAGACGCCCCACCCCCTTTAGCGGCGAAACAAAGAATCGAACCTGGAAATTAATGTTCTTAGCGTAAAGCGGAAGCCTGCCTTGTTAACTGCACAAAAATTTGCGAAGCTCAGTTGGGCAACGGCTGGCTGATGATTGCATGTTTTTTATTTGCTGCTTTCAAAAAATATTTTGGTGTCAAAACATTGTAAATATCAAAGAAGGTAGATAATTTTTGCGTCCCTTGCTATAGTCGTGATACATTAGCATGCGTGTACTGTATCCCAAACAGTTTGTTTCAGGGTGTAGTTTTATGGCTAACAAATTGTACTGATTTAATGTTACTTCGGTACCTTGGGGTAAGATGCCCCTGTCCTGATGGGGAAAGACGCCCCCCTAAATCCATAGGCTGTCCTTCAAGCAGCCCGTCAAATCATTTATTACATACTTGTGATGAGAGACAAAAGCCGATCTGGGACTATTAAGAGTCCAGTACGGTCGGGTGCTCCCCATGCAGGTCTCTCGGCCCACACAGCGACTTTTTGGGCGGCATCTGACTCTGAGAGCAGGGTTGTATACCAATCAAGTCGATTGAATTGATTGATTTGTTTCAACGCGTATTTTGAGTTGATTGGATTGAGTCGATTGACTTTACGAGATGACTGGTTGACTGACTCGTTTGACTTCAGCGACTGGTTGACTGATTTGATTCCCGAAAATTAGAGTGACTTGTATGATTGAGTCGATTGAATGGAAGGTTCAAATAAGTTTTAGTTGACGAAAAATAATGACACCAATTGATGACATCAAAGATCACAAAACTACACTGAAAACTGCTTGTCATCACAACTGCAATATGGGGTAGAGGGCCAAATAAAGAACAGGGCCTAAGCATGAACAGCCAACTTTGACTTTCAACTGCAATAACTGCTCCAATCCTGGTGATAGAACCTGGCGATGCACCTACCTACCTTTCTGCACTCAGCAGGAAACTTATTTTAAATCCAGATGATAAAGTGTAAGGCCCTATATACTAATAAAGTGTGATTAATTAATAATGGGACCGTATTAGAGCCGGCGATAATCACGGAACATTAGTGTCGGGGCAGACTGCGGCGGGGCAGACTGCGGCGACCCCTAGGAAGAACAACTAGGGAGAACAACATTCGACAGATGGCAGCACTAGACGAGATAATCAGGCAATACATTAATATTAATGGGAAAGAAATCATGCCAATGTTTGCCCTCACCAAGCATGTTACCACGACAATGGAAGAATGTAGTGTAGTACCCCTCCCCGGGCCCGCCGCGGGCTGGCAGCGGCGGCCGGAGCCGGTCCGACCTTTGGCCGGCCGGGTCAGGTAACCGGGACGGCCGCGCCGCGGCGCCGCGCCCGGGCCGGCCGGGAGACGGAGTCGGGTCAAGGCTATATCACCAGGTAGGCTACTCCGGTTTCCATAACTGGCAATAGGCCCGATCGGCCCGCCACCTACCGGCCGGAGCGCGGAACTACTGTGACGTCACAAAGACCCTAGCGGCCCCCTTGCGCCCGCCGTAAATACATTACGCCGGGCGGGCGGCAGGCTTTTTAACGTATTTTTGGAAAAAGTAATAGGTTTAGTGAAAAATGGTTCTTAGATATTTCGAAGAAAAATGTCTCGTCTTTTCGATGATGCATTTGGATTTGGGACAATCAGGCGGACATTATGATACTTTCGGTAAATGGACTCGCCGTCGCACTACTAGCGATGTGCGGTGCGTCTGTAGTTTAGCTGCAGTGCTCTTTGCCCCTTGTGGTGCTTCTTTTTCCTTGATGACGCTTTTATTAGGATTTTTTCAAATGTTTTGAATGGACGGGTGAAGGGTTGATAATTGACATGTCATGGGTAGCTTGTCGAGAGGGCACTTCCCATTTGAAAAGAAATCCGGACTCCTGAGAGCTTTGAAAGCCAAAATGCCCACACATTCAGACGAGGCTTGACAACTGGCTAAACCTAGCCTAATGACAGTTGGCTGCGGCTGCCAACACCAGCTGCAGTCAATCCTGTCAGTAATCTATATCGATTCGCTTCAGCTCGCGCTTATTGAAAATTCAGCGCCGTGTCCATAAGCTCGAAGCTCTTCACTGAAGAACAATAACTAGCCGGCCAACTGAGCTAGACGTCTAATACAAAGACCAAAAGAAGATCACTTCAATAGCCCAAAGGGACTTCTCGGTTTCTTCACAAGACCCAATAGGCCACCCAACACGTAACAAGAAACATATACAACAAATTGAACTGAAAACATTAAGACAAGGTCGAGCGTGACGGAAAAAATAATTTATTATGTAAAAACGCAGTAATCGAACGATGACAATGATGTACGCACTACTCATCTGTCCGGACTGGCGCCGGATTGCAGAAGGATATCTGGCGAGACGCAGTCGTAAATGCGCTTTTCATGCCAAGCTTGATTTAGACGCGGTGACTGGTTGTTGTCATGCCACCTTGCCGCTCTTTTGTGCTACAATGCGTGGACGGGAGTGGGACACTGGCGACTGTCGGGTCCTCTGCACTGCTCTGAGCGGACGGGACACCGACGTCTGTCAGTTCTTATGCGTTACACTGCGCGGACTGGACGTCGGCGTCCGTCGGGTTTACTGCGCTGCCCCGGTGGCACATCGTGACATCAGCATCTGCCGTCTGTCAGTTCTTGAAGCGCGGGCCGGACATCGGCGTCTGCCGGTTCTTCTGCGCTGCGCTGCGCGAACGGGACACCGGTATCTGTCAGGTCTTCTACGCTGCGCGGACTGGGTACTGGTTCTTTTGGATATGTAGGAAATGCAGGATCTGAAAGGGACACGAGCACATATATCACAAACAAGGCAGAAGGAATCAGTGGCGGATCCAAGGGGGTCATATGGGTCATGCCCCCCACCCCTTGGGGCCCTTGCGGTGCCCCACGGGGGCACCACAGGCCTGCCAGGGCCACCACCGGCCTATCAATTCTTAAGGGCACCACAGGCCTGACGGGGGCACCACAGGCCCTCCAGGGGCACCCAACGGCCTCGCAGGGGCCAGGGGCACCCCCGGCCTCACAGGGGCACCACCGGCTTCGCAGGGCCCAGGGGCACCTTGGGCTTATCAGAGGCACTTCAGGTTTGTCAGGGGCACCACAGTCCTGCCAGGGCCTAGGGGCACCAGCGGCCTAGCAGGGGCACCACAGGCCTAGCAAGGGCACCACGGGGCTGTCAGGGGCACCATAAGTCTGTCAGGGGCACCTCAGGCTTGTCAGGGCCCAGGGTCACCACAGTCCTTTCAGGGACACCAGAGGTCTGTCAGGGGCACCACAGGCCAGCCAGGGGCACCACCGGCCTCGCAGGGGCATCTTGGGCCCGTCAGGGGCACCACGTGCCTGTTAGGGACACTTCAGGCCTTTCAGGGGCACCACAGTTCTGTCAGGGCCCAGGGGGCAGGGGAAAAATAATAAAACAGGAAAAAAACTAAAAATAGGGCCCACCACAAAAATAGGCCCACAAAATTAAGTGGCCGAAATCCGTTAAGTTTTAATTTTGGGTATAGGTAGGGGCCCCACTTCGATTCATGACCCCCCCCCCCCTGGAGTTTTTCTGGATCCGCCCCTGGAGGGAATATGATGGCTTGTTTAGTGGATGGGGCAATATGTGAGTGAAAGGTTGAAATAATGCCTACACAAAGTGCGGCGACAGTTCCAAATGCAGAATAAACGTAAGCTGTGACTCAAATCTATAACAAAAGAAGCAGGAGAACAATCAGGTCTCCGCACTGACAGTGACATTTTTATGTTTCAAGACTTTCAGGTTTAAATCATTGTTGCATGGCTAAGAAAGACAAAACCAGAGTAAAATAGATATGGTGCATGCTGCGTACTCAATTTACCAAAGATTTTGTTAAGATTGTTTATTTTTTTTTCACTGTTCAAGCTTCCTATGGATTTCAATTAAAAATGAGCCAGTTATGAGCAAACATGTGCAGTGTAAATTGGTGCAAAGAAAGTTCACTGATCCTTATGCAAGGTAGCATTACTATTTTCACTTTTCAGTATGGTAACTTATAAAGCATAGGCAACAAAGTTATTAACAATTTCATTTTTGTACTACAACAAGCACTCATGCATGGAGTCCAGGACAGGCTCAGGAACCAGGGCTGCGGAGAAGTCGCTTAGCACACCAAGCTGATGCTCGGAAAGCATCAGTATCTTTGTTTTTATAGCATCAAAGAAAGTATAAAATTATCCAGCCAACTATTTAAATGGACTGGCATGAGTTATATTTGTTTTGTTGACATATTCATTAAAAAAGAACAAACAGTTAGCTGACAAATGCTTATGTGAACTCCGAATCAGAATAGTTTTATATCTAGTCTTGAACACCCATCCAGAATAACCAGCAAGCACATTTTCTTTGAGAATATGACAAAATAAACACCCTTTCTAATAGACACCGCAGTACAGATTGATATGGATGGAATTTTTCTGAAGATATAAACATAACAAATGTAGGTGTACTGATACTCACCTGTTTTGCCCAAATTGAAAGGTATGGCAGGACATTTACATGTCAATATTATAGGCCTGTACACATTCAGCTGCTGTGCTGTTGTCAGCCGAAAATCACTCACACTATTGGCTGAAAAATTGATGACGTTATGTTGCACATGCAACATGACGTCACCTCTCTGCTGCCGGCAGCATGGGCTGACGGGCTGTGCTGCTACGAGAAAGCAAGTGCAGAGATGCCGAGCCGTCAGCAAAAGCCATAAATGACGCATTTAGACACTGGTAGTGGCGCATGAAAGCAAATCACGTGCCAGATTTTTATTGAGCACTGCAGATAAATGAAATTTGGACACCATGTTGGCGCTATTCACAATATTTGGTTTCATAATTAATTGTCGATACAAGAAAAATACTTATTACTTTCGCACATTGTGAGTAAATATTTTGATAATATATCTAACTGCTTAAGTATTGTATTAATAAAGAACATGAAGATGAGACGAAATATTTGTTTACAACGCCATATTTGTAAACAGCCAGCCAGTGCTGACATTTCTCATCAGCCAAATGTATACAGTTCCGTCAGCCAGAAGCGGTGGGCGAGCCTATTTCAGCTGACAACAGCACAACAGCTGAATGTACAGGCCTTATGGTGATGATCAATTTGACGATGCCTGCCACAGAAGCCTAGTAAATTTTCAAAGAACTTCGTAATAACTTCATATATTTCCACAATATCACGGTGGGTAATACAACATACAACCCGCAACAAAAGCTAAACAAGTTTGCGCCGACATTGTATCATGCGCCATTCAGGCCTTTTCTAGGGGGACTGTCTTCTGTGTAAATCAGGAAAACGACAAATGACGTCACCAGGTGTACGGTTATCGTTCATCCCAAAATTTGTAAAACTTAGAGTGAAATATTTAGTTTCGTGCACATGTGTCACTTAAAACGAAAACTAACTTTCATAAAAAGCCTCAAGTTTGCATCAAACTCAAGGATATTTTTTAAACGAGGTCAAAAAGTAACCACGGGCTTCTATAGTGGTATGTGCAGCAGGGGATAGTATGACGTGGCAAGGCTGACAGCCAATCAGCGAGCCAGTTGGCCTATTGCCACTTTTGAATATCCCCTTTAACACGGGAATGAACCCCCCTGAGTCGGGTGCCCGCCGGCGAGCCGTCGGCAAGGGGCGGGGCACATTAGTCGAGTTGAATGTTCACCGTTCAGTCTTGAGTGCGAGTGATGTATGTGTGAATCGATATGTGAGCAGCAAAATCCAACAAGAAAACAAATCCGTGAAAGAAAGGCAACGCTGGCAAACATCACCACCATAGTCTTCCTACGCCGAACGAGTTCCACACCAACGTGCATCAGCGAGAGTAAAACTAGGATCCTAACAGACCCACCCACCGCCCCACCGTCACCCCATTCCTTCCCAAGTCTCCTTCCCCTCCGCTCGGGGCGTCTTTCAGCTACGCAAGAAGGAATCGGCAGACACAGACACCTGGGCGAGCGAGGAGGGGAAGTCGAGACCGTGTTTCCGCCAAAAGAGAAAACAACCAAGGTAGGTGGTAGGTAACTACACCTGCGCTATCTACATCAGCTGCCCCGCATGACACTAATTCACATCTCCACATCTCCTCAGAACAACCCACTGAACTAATAAATATCTGAAACCCCTACAAAAATAACTGAAACAAAAGCGCCGTTTTCGTCTCGCTATTACGGTTGCGTGCCTAATTAATAGCTAATTTGCTGCATTGTTTAATATGCAGCAGAACGTTTGTTGATCCTTTTCTCCTGAGAGCCTAAGCATAACATATTCAATATATTTCATTTTCCTTAAATATTTTACCGAATATTAAGTGGTTTTAAATGAAATACCTAATAATTACAACGAAATTGGTGTTGTACAACCGATTTATTTTATGATGATCTACCATACTGCATGATAATCAATGACGTCATCTTACCAAAAAATTAAAAGACGTAGAATAAGGATTTATAAAAGCTTAGCATACTTATTGGCAAAACGTTTTCTTTGATTCGCAGTCGCACTGTGCCGTTTTCGCGTTTTAATTTTCCTTGTTTCTTTTTCCTTTGTCCTTAACTCCTGTGGTTCCAGAGTCCCTGTCCTCTCCATTTCCTTTTAATATATTTTTTAATCCTCATCCCTATCCCCCAGTCCTAACAGTTTCAAATTGTATTGCAATAAAATGTTTTGAATTCTTCACATAGGTACCTAACATTGACATGCCACGTCCAGAGTCGTGGACCGCTAAATACTTCAAATATCTTCCTTCCCAATCTGACAACATCCCACGTCTCAAATGCACATTGTGTGGAAAGATTTTTCAGGCTGCCCGTCAGTCTCTGTCTAACCGAAACCGTCACATGCAGGTAAGATATTTATTTCCATTTCCCTATGGTTAATATGTTTTGATGCATATTATCCATTAAAATAGACATGGTGTAGGGTAAATGGCCAAATCACGAACACTGCCAAAATCCGAGCAGCCAACTTTTAACTGCAATATCTGATATTTAGTGCAAATTGAGTTGGAATATGGCCAAAATTAAATTGACAACTTTTAGGTGAAAGGTGGTGATTTGGGTTAAGGGGCGAGTCAACTACTGGGTTATTTTGCACCCAGTAAATGATCTTCTGCTACAATTCTACCCATTGAACCTCAATAGGTATCATGATCCACCTGTCCATCACTATAGGTATCCTTCCTTATTACATAGAAACTTTGAATGGCATGGCAATTTATAATTTTAAATGACAATATTTTTATGTTTCTTCTGTAGGTAGGTAGGTAGGTAGGTAGGTACACCAGACTGCTATGGACACTTTTCCAACTTGGTGGGGCAAAAACCTAATGTTTATCTTGGTTTGAGTCATTTGATTGAGTTGATTGATTCCTTTCATTGTCGCGTTTGAGTCGATTGAATCAATTCTCGAAAACTGCTCTGACTTGATTGATTTGATTGGTTTCCCAAATTTGTCGTGATTGAATTGATTGCTATTGATTGAGTCGTATACAACCCTGTCTGAGAGCCCTGACGACGGCCTTTGCGGGCCCCATTATTAACTCCAAGGCCCCTCACGACATCCTTTGAGGGCTCCCACGCTGGCCCCACGGGCCGCGCTGGCATGTGAGGTCCCCACGATAGGCTCGAGGGCCCTCAAGCATCATGAAGACCTATAAGAGCCCCACAGTGGTCTCCGAATGCCACCACGGAGGCTTGTTTGGCCGCGCTGGACTATGATGGCCCTAACGATGACCTCTGAAGCCCCTTACGACTATTTTTGAGCGCCCTTATGATGACGTTTGGTGTCTACTGCAGGCTCGAAGGGACTACTGATTCGTTCAGGCGATTCACGTGCCCATTTATGTCACTTATAGTGCAGGGGGGCATCTTTCCCAACGCCAGGGGGCGTCTTTCCCACCCTGTGGGTAAGATGCCCCCTTTCACTTCTTCAGGAAATACTTAATAGCAAAAAAAGTTATCATATTTCAGGCACGAAAGTGTGATATTTTTGGAGAAAAATGATGTCGGCTTCCGTTGAAACTCCAAGTTTTTGCTTTCCCATCGTCATTTTCGAATGATATATGACAAAGCAAAACCCTGGGCATCTTTCCCCACTCTCCCCTATGCTATAGAATAGGTAGCCCAATCTAATGGAATATTAAAATTCAAAAGTGGAATTGGGACTTATGAACTGGAAACTGCATCAACTATGACTATGTTTGCCAAAGCATAAAAGATATTAATATTTACCATAAAGTACAGGGAAATGATAGGACCCGGTTGGACCCGGCCAAATATTTTGGGGGACCCGGTCTGGACCCATCGGGTCCAGACCGGTTCCATAGACCGGGTCCCCGGGTCCACATTTTGCCACCTCTACGACTGACCGTTTGGTCATGGCCGTCGGACGGGCCACTGGGCTCGACCTGTCAGCGGAGTGCCTCGACAGATCCCACCGTTTGGACCGACCGCAACCGGACAAGAAGCAGCCGATCATCGCGAAGTTTGTGTCATTCAACTCGAGACAGAAACTGTTCACAAAGGGAAAGGAGCTGGCGGCACACAAGGTGGGAGATCATCTCATCTTAACTCGATCTGTCGTCAGCCAGACCTTCATTTCCGAGTGTCTGGCGCCCAAAAACCAGCATGTTGTACGTCGCCCGGCAACTGAAGCAGAGGAAATCGCTCTAGGCGGCGTATACCACCAACGGTAACGTGAAAATAAAAAAGACGGAGAGCCGGCTTCAGCTCGCCTGCACCTGAACCTGATGCCCGGAAAGCTGTCAGTCTCTCCCAGTCAGAAGCAGTATGACGGCTTTGAGATCCCCGAGGTAAGATATATCCATGAAAACCGAGTGCGCTGTTGGACAGCTGCTCTCGACGTCCTTCAAGACACCGAGAACGTCCGTGCAAACACATTTTTCCTCTAAGGCGCATGCAGTGATGGCAGAGAAAGTGAGGGAAACTGCCAGAGAGGATGGGCAGAGAACCGCGCGCGACGATACGGCTGCAGAACGCGTGTTGCGAGCCGCGTACCACACTGTGGTTGAATCTGGTTCTCACCGCTCTTTCGAGAGACAAGTGGTTCTTCTGCACAAAAGTGGAGCAGACATTGGTGACAAGAACCACAGTAGTGGGATGATGGTGAAGGCAAAGGACGCCTTTCATGAAATTATGCTGGATGAAATGAAGGCTTTTGTTGAAAAACAGACCTGTGTGTCAGTTGTTGCTACAAGGCTCCTCCTCCTCCGAACCTTTAGGGACTGAAAAGCCGACGAATTCAACCGCGACTTCGCCTCGGTTGGTCCCCGCATTGCCACAGAGCTGAAGGAGCGTCATATTGGCAACGACATGCCTGATATCTCACACAAGCCGCCCGTGTCATCTCCACAAACCTGATCCTACATCCTGTGACACTTCCCGAGCTTTCCAAATATCTGAATGAACTATCCTCTTCAAAAGCCGTCGGTGTCGATGGTGTACCATTGATTGCTATTAAAAACTGTTTTGCCGTTCTAGGACCACATCTAC